TTCTGTCGAGCACATTGGCATGTTGATGAGGATTGATTGATTTACCCGTGCCCCAGCCGCCGCCTGAAGCCAGTGGGCAAACGCTTCGCTCGGCGACTTGCAGGCCTGTGCCGTGGGCCCACGGGCTGAGCACGAAAAAGGATTCGCGGGCCATGGGTTTGATGGTGTGTTCAGAAACGTGTCTCGAAACCTCTTTCGTGATGTTGGACCGGACCAGGCTGCCCACCAGATTGCGGCTGTTCCTTTGATCCAGGAATCAATCCCCCAGTGATTGCCTTTTGAGTGAAGCCAAAAAAAGTTTCCTCAGGTTTGGTTCTTGGTGTCAACGCGTAGCTTGGATTCCTCTCAACGTGACCCGCATAAATTTCGCAACTGAGGACAGCGATGACAATTGACTTCTGCCAGCAAAATCAACCGAAGAAGCTGATGCTGCCGGAGTGTGTACCTGGGTGGAGGGGCAGAGAACGGTTTGGAAGCTGGGTCCACCTCGGTGTTGGTGCAGTGCCGAGTGTTATTCCTGCATGAACTCGCGTTTCCCCGTTTCCATGTCCATGCTGGTCGGAAATGGAAATGACTTCCGGCCGCGCGCAGTGGGCCAGTCTACCTAGCGCAGTTTTGTGTTTTTTTTGGGGGGCAGCTCTTGCAGCTGCGAGGACTCATGATGTGGTCAATGTCCGGATATGTTCAGCAAATGAAGATCACTAGTCAATAGGTAATTGTGTGTCCACTACATGCAGACTTTTGTCGGTGCAATCCCTTCCAATTGTTTCATAACACACCCAAGCATTCTTTCTCGAATATGGCCATTTGGACACATGAAAGAACATCATATATGTCCAGGACTTAAGGTCCTACGAACCCCTACTGCGATGAAAACAAGTGGAGGGACTCCTTTCGATGTTTCTCCCCTACATCGGTCGCACACGTTGCGACCAACACCCAGGCAGTCGTCCCCTCTACTGATGTGCTGATGCCCGGCACAGCGTCTTGGCAGAGAGCCGCCGCGGCGACGTCAGGGTCCAATGCATGTTTGGGGATGTTTTCCAGTGATCGGTCGATGTGAGCTCCGTGGTCGCGATCATCGCTACAGGCAGACGGAGGACATTGAGCACATCGACATGTTCTGTTTGACAGAACTCTGTGTGACCCCGGATTGCTTGACAGAACCCATTTGGGTAATGTGCTAGTGGAAGAACACAAAGGGTATAGGGATCACCGGGTAGGCCTTCTTTCACCCATGCCCATTTCCCAGACCATCCATGGGACTGGTTACCTACATGGATGGGTCATGTTCATGGGGCATATGCATGTAACTGTTCCATACACGGAGTGGTTGGGCTTCTTTGTTGGGGCTAGTCACTTATCAAGAGAAACCACGAAGACATGCATGCGCACATACACAGATGCGCGAAGAAGAGGGTGCGTGGTGTGGAGATGTTCCAGGCACGCTCTAGGCAACCTTTAGCGCGCACAAAGTTGGACCAGCAACTTGGGATTTGTTTTGTTTAAATTGCACCCTTGTTTTATGTGTTGAAAAATGTTCAAAGGTGTTCCATTTTGTTTCATTAACACATATTAATAGTAACACCCTCGAGCCTCCCTGAGGCACTAGGTGCGCGGAAAGATATTCACACCCATTGAATTGCCCATGGCCCTGGAGGATTTCAATGGAGCCGACCCTGTGGGTCGGGTCGTCGGCATGGCACCGAGAGGCTTATTTTCATCCAGGTGTTCCCAGTAGCAATGGCTGGTGTCCAGCGCTGGCTGGTAGGCTGGGATGGATCAAGCCTTGACCAAAGGGCAAAGGAACATGGGGGACTTTCCAGAACATTTAGGAGTAGTATCACCTCACTTCCTGGCATTGAGTTTGCAGGTGCAGGTTTGTACTCCTGTATGAGGAAAAAACACCATCTATGAGTCTATGAGGTTTCGAGGCCATTCCTGCACACTGTTCCGAAGCCCAGGCGAAGTATGCGCCTTGGCAAGACATGTTGGAGCAAGGGTGCTGGGCATGGCTCCAGCAAGAAGGCTTCGCTGCAACCCACTTGCCCACCACGAATACCATTTATAAGATTTTATAAGACCCTTTAAGATGCTGTGCTGTTTGTCAGGTCGGAAGGTAGTGCACCACCTTGCAGTCGCTCTGCGCCGGGCGGCCGAGGTCAAGGAAATGTATGCACACCTCCCAGTCGCTGCACCGGCGAAAGCCTGCGATTCCCTGTGTTGCTTAGAGGAGGCAGCACTGTTGTCGGTTCACCAGCTCCGGGCGGCAGCGGTCGTAGTAAATGGCTCCACCAAGAGGAACATAACATACTTGTAGACCATACCATAACACGGCAAATAGATGTTCAAATGGTATGAACGGGGTCTTAGGGTATCATTGTCAGGGAATTGTAAACAAATGCGTTTCAAAGCACTTCATGTTTTGGGTGGTTGAGATAGCGACTGGAGCATTCGATTGGGATGTGAGTGATGTGAGTGCGATTTATGTTTTCAGGAAACAGACGGAATTGATCCTCCATTCATGATAAACTATAATATGTTTCGCTTGGTCCGGTCCGTGGTCAGTGGTTTCGCCACACAGAGGATGCATAGGTGTTTAATTTGGGTTGGCAATTGGGGTCTATAGCAGTCTATGTAAAGACCCTCCCCGTGGAGCCATTTGATGCATCAGGTGGCCTGCCCTGCGAACTCACACGGTGTGAGCACTGTGCTGGGCTGCATTTGCAATAAGGCGGTTTTGGCAGACGTTGCACAGGGGTTGCTTGACAGTGCTGACTGGGGTGCCTACCCAGTCAGTGAATCACCGGATTAACCTTTTCCAGAATTTGATTTCCCCCCTAAACATGATGCCGCCTCAACGTAGGCATGGATGGTAGAACAGGCGGTTCATGGTGGTTCATGTACATGTTTCGAGGGATCCAAGTGATCCAAGAAACCGCTTAAGGGATTCTTTGGGGTGATTTCAGGAGTTGGACACATGTTTTGGAACACCGTCCGCATCGGTGCTGGCAGCAGGGGGGGGGTCTCAACGGTCATCGCCTCGGTGGGTCGAGTGTATTGGCAGGGCTATCACGGCAAGATCACTGCCTTGGCCGAGCCACCCTACAGCACCGGCAGCTGTGAAGCGGTGAAGTGCCCGGAGAATTCTGCAGGTGAAAGCGTGGGGAAGGGATGCCAGTGCCACTTGGCTAAAAACAGCCACCGAAAGAATAGCCGAGGTTTTTGTGAGTGTTTGTGCTCGTTTTGTTGTGTTGTTTGTTTTCTCGGTTGATTGAACAGTTGAAGCATTGCTCGGAATCCAACATCGCCTGGGACTTAAGATTTGGAACCCTTGGTGCTTGAAGCTCCTGTTTGAAGCACCTGGGATAGCTAGTTAAAGTAGGTTAGAGTCTAAGTCTACAGTTAGAGTATGTAATTAGTTGGCCTTCCACCTAAACAGTGACACTCCAGGAATCAAGAATTAAACATGAGATCCGACCTGTTGAATCATGAGAATGTTGGCACCCGGCACCTTTCTGCCATAGTATTGAAGCCTTTGAACTCCTCCAGCAGTGTCATTGATTGGGCTTTCCAGGTGTTGGGTGCTTCTTTAAAAGTCATTTTCTACAATTCTGCATAACTGTTGTGAAAGAACACATGGATCATCATGGACCCAACCGAATTGTTCATGTATGTGTTCACTGTAGCTCTCTCAGGCGATGCTGGCTACCGCGGCGACATCGTCGCCATCCGTGAGGCCAGACGGGTGTGCAGAGTCAGCCACTGGATTTTTAAGAATCAGGATTGCTGATGCGTTTGGTTCAAAGTATGGTATAAAGATGCTTATGGCATCCTATTATATATATATAAGATATACATATATATATATTATATATACATAAAGAGAGAGAGAGAGAGAGAGAAAAAGTTTTCCCTCCAGGTCTACTCAACTTGTTTGCCCAATGTTTCGACCACTTTTGTTTGTGTAGGTGAGCTGTTTTGAAACCTGGTTTGCAGGTGAGGATGCTTTGAGAAAAAAAACAACGACCTTTGGAGTTTCTCCAATGTATTTGGGGTTCGTTGTGATATTGTGGTGCATCCCAAAGCTTACACACATGAAGATGCGAACATGGAAATTCGAAGAGAGTCTTTGAACGGTCTCACCTTAGAAGATCCCAAGCAGCAAGGAGTTGGCCCCCCCAGTAGTCAAGGTCATTGAAAGTAGATGACTTTGCTGTGGATCAAAATCGGTGAGGGCGAACGCCGACACCCGGCGTACACACTGAAATCGGTATAACTTGGGTGGACCAAAATGAAGAGGCTAGACTAAGTGGAGGTCGAACTACGGACCAGACCTCCAGGTTTTGGACCATCCCCAGTTATTTACAGTGGAGTAGAGTCTTCTGGATTGGGGTCCATAAAACCACCCTGGGGGGATTCTACCATCTACTCTGAAGTCACTGTACTTCCCCCCCAATCCCCCACATGTGGTGATTTGGATTTCCTACGACGTGCTGATCTACTCACCTCGCCTCCTTGGCAGCGTGACACATGCCCCACTCTCCGCATTGAATTCAGCGCTCGCTCACTCCCCCAAGCTCTCTCCCGCCTGTTTGAGGCACCCTACTACCGCGGGAGCTGTCAGAAGGTTGCCTGTCCCGAGCTCTCGACCGGCGACTACGTGGTGGAGGGCTGCCAGTGCGTGGCGGGGCTCACAGGCTCCGTGAAGCCCAGCCAGGAGGCACCGTTCTACGTGCAGGACTGTGAGGTGCGAGACTCTGGAGTTAGTCTGAAGGGCTCGGTCGGGGTGGGGGGTACAGGTCTGGATCCCAACCTGGAGAGGTAGGAGAGGTGTTGAATCTTTTGGGCAGAGCTCGCTTGACTTGGCAGGAAACAGATTG